TATAAATATATATATATGTATATATAAATATATATATATATGTATATATAAATATATATATATATATATATATATATATATATATATATATATACGTATATAAATATATATATATATATATATATATTATATATATATATAGATATATGTATGTATATAACTATATAACTATATATATATATAATATATATAATATATTTATATATGTATAATATATATATATATATATATATATATATATATATATATATTTATATATACATATATATAATATATTTATATATACATTATATATATATATTATATATACATATATATATATATATATTTATATATACATATATATATATATATTTATATACAATATATATATAATATATATATATACATATAATATATTACATATATAGATATAGATATATATATAATATATAATACATATATATATATGTATCTATATCTATATACATAATATATATATATATATATATATATATATACTATGTATATATATATATATATTATACATATATATATGTAAGCATCCTTTAGAAAACGAGTAAACCTTATACCTCTTGATTCCGTCTCTGATGAGCAGCAGGATTAGCTACCTCTCCTGCTTGAACTCCCACATCCTCTATCATAAAATCATTCACCAGGTCATCTCTCCCCACACGATGTAGGGGCTCTGGCTGCTGGGGTGGTGCAGGTTGAGGGTATCCTGGTTCCCCCATGAATGCCTGCATTATAGCATTTACCTCATTCCTGGGACCAACAGGATCTTCCCTCATGGGCTGGTTTTGCTGTGGCTGCTGGGGATCCATAGCTTGAAACCCTAAAGCTTGCTGATGATGGTGGTGGTGATGGTGGTGGTGATGGTGGTGGTGATGCAGCCTGTTCACTTCGCGTACAACCATGAGTTGTGCAGGATGGACTTGCTGGTGGGCAGGTGGTGGCTGCTGCAGGTGAGCAGGAGGAGGAGGAAAAGCTAAGAATCTTCGACGCATCAAGTGTTGAAGTGCAAATGGCTGTCCAGGAATTCTTTGCTGATGTGGTGGTAGCTGATGTGGTCGTCGCTGGTGTGCAGGAGGTGGCTGTGGGTTGGGGAAGACTGCTGGGTGTGGTGGCTTATCAGCTAAATGCTTTGGAATCTGAAAAGTATAAAATCATAGTGATATAACATGGCTTATCCATTATTATAAAGTAGTATTCTGAGAGACATTTAATTATATATCCAATATTCCATAGAATTAAATTCAACCTACTTAAAGAAATTCATTTTCAATACTTCCCATGTGAAAAATAAAAACCATTTTCTAATGTAATTCAAATGATCAATTGAAAGATGCTACAGGCCAAAAGGGTACAATATTTTATAAACTCTTCTTAACTCTATCTTAAATGTTCCTACTGGCAAGCTGCCAGTCTCATCAGGCAACAATTTTGGTAATTTGCTCAAGACAATTTTCAGACCCAGCCGGACAGCTTCCTTTACTTAGGATTACATCTGGAATAGATGAGATCAATCTGCATTGACAGTCCAGAATTGTGCAAGTAATAGATCCTGAGTCAGGTGTCCTGTCCACTGTATCCCATGATCCATAGGATGAGGTCCAGGAATCACTGCTAACAGCAAAATAGGCAAGATCAGTGCTATCCGCACATGTACCAGGATTTCTAAATTATTCTATCTAGAGGGGTCACGATTCCAGCTGCCAGGTTAATCCATCTATCAACAATCAATACTATGAACTACACTACCAGGAAATGTTAAGCATGGGATAACTTTAAAGTCCCTGTGCTGATTGAGCTGGTTCTTCAAGCAGTTATAATTTCTGAATCTTGGTCCAGGACATGTATATGTAGAAAAGGTATGAATGAGAATTAATATCTTCATGATACAAGAGATGTACTTAACCGGTTTCAAATATATCTTCTGACAAAGCTATACATGAAACGGTTAAATACTTCTCTTGTATTGTGAAAATATTCATTCTCATTCATACCTTTTCTACATTTGTTAACATGAATTCAGTTCATAGGACATGTTTCCAAAGTCTTTACCTCATTCTTACATGCATCAAGTATGCATCTCCAGAGACTAAGACAGGGTAGTAATATCATCCTCATCTACTGTGACTCACTTTGAAATGGCCATGGTGAACCCAAGCACACTCCCCTTAGGACCTGTTCACTGAGATATGAGAGCAACTCCTGATCCTCCAGGGCACCTGTACAAGCAGCAGGGCTGCACAGTCCTTCCCTCTGGCTACCCCACAGATCTACAACTTCATCTCCAACATCCAGCCATACCTGCGGGATGCATGCCTCATCTAATACACTGGTGACCTACTTCCTCTACTACAATGCTGACCCAAGAGTGACAGATCATTTAGCTCTCTCACTTTTCTCACTCAATGGAACAGTAGTATCAGTAGCAGCACAACACCACAACCTGCAGCTCAGCATATTTGCAAGGTTGGGTCACACCAAGTCCACAACGTTATCCACACACGCATCCACTGGCGCTTCTCGTGACACACTACCGAGACCTGACTAGCTCACAAGGACACCACACTGGACTGCAGGCTTCCCTCATTCCTAGTTTGCTGCCACAGCTTCAAAGTGCTTAAGCTCCAGAATCCAGTCCAAGATCCTCCTCCACCCCTCCATTAGTTCTTCTAACTGACATCAGCAACTCCCAATCCTCCAGAGCATCTCTACAAGCAGCAGCAACAAAAGGGCTGCCATTTCCAAGACACAGCCAAATCTGGATGTTGGAAAGAGATACAGGCACCAGTCGAGTAGTAGATCCACACCTCATCCTCTACATGTGTGTATACATGTGCATGTGTGTGTGTGTGGGTGTGTGTTTGTGTTTTTGTGTGTGTTTGTGTGTGTGTGTGTGTTTGTGCGTGTGTGTGTGTTTATGCATGTGTGTTTGTACGTGTGTG